ATGATGGCACAAACTGGAATAATCACAGTGCTGGCAAGCACGACCGGTGCATTTATTGTGGGTATACTATGTACCCCCTTTACTATTATACCCCCTTTACTATTATACCCCCTTTACTATTATACCCCCTTTAGTACACGTTACAGGAACATCGGGAAGTGGGTTTTCTAGAACCCCTGTTTTACAACAGATTGTCGTGATATCTATCTATATATATACATATATATTCAGGGATAGACGCTTTGCCAGTCAATTGTAGCCTGTATTTAATTGTCCATAGATTCAAAAGTAAAAAAGATACAGCCATTTCCGACCACAGGTCTTGAAAATAATTGTTTACACTTTAGTTTACATTGTATAAACAAATTATTTGACGTCATGAACACCCCTTGATGACGTCATCAAGTTAACCGTTTTTAAAACTTGATTTTTTCCATTTCACCCTTTTGTAAAAAGGCAATAGTGAAAGGTTACGAATGGAGGTTTTTGCAGAAAAACGTGGATTTTGGAGATTGCGGTAGGTGGGTCAAATATATGTCGTGTTCCTTGCTTACTTCCGTTCGTTACCAAGCAACGAAAAACTTGCGCGCGCGCGAGGATTGCTTGCGGAGATGTGATGTATAGATAGCATGTGATCTATGAATGCGCGGCGCGACTGTGTTTTAATGTATATGATGCATGTAATGTATAATATTAATATTAGGTAATACGCCCAATTTGTACGTTGCACGCGTAGTGTATTGATGTGTACACGCGTATAGTTTACCTTTGCTGATAATTTCTTGAATTACAGATACAAGTTAAGTTGAACTGAATTTCAAGTGTTTCCCGTATTTGATGCATAATTTATCAATATTATTATCATGAAGATTGAAGTGAGCTGATTGGAGCTTATATTTAAATTTATAGTAAATGTGGAATGGAAATCTAGCGTCCGCCAAAACGCAATTCTTGTTGACAAAGTAATAACTTTTAAAAATGATTTTACACCATTAAAAAGTAATTTTATTCAAAATCTGAGGAAATTTTCATCTTAGATAATTGTTCAAGCATTCTGAAAATCTACCGGAAAGTTTTTCTAGCTTGCTCCTTCATAAAGATATTCGTCATTGAAGTTTGTGCTTTTTTGAAGAATTATTTTATAAAAACGTCAATTTTGCGATTTAGTATTCTCTGGTGTTGGGCCATGCCTTGGGTTGTGGAGCTCAATTCTGCTTCCTATAGATATAAATTGTGCATTAGGCTAGTTTTAAAGTTATAAATCGAAAAGTTGCACACGTGGGGACACGCCCAAATTGATAGAAAATTGCTAAAATCACTGAAAATTGCTGTTTTCGTCATTTTCTGTCAACTTTAGAGTGCCGTTGTGATAACAGTTCTTCTTGAAATACTTTGAAACTTTGCATGCTTATCAAGCTATATATACAACAATTACATGCAAAATTTTACGGCGATTCAATATTGGATGCGCACGCAACGTCCGCTCAAAGTTTGCACGTGCGAAAGGTGAGAATTTTGCTCATTTGTGATTTCCAACAAATTCTGCTTTGCCACGACAGTTTAATGTCATTATAAATGAATTTAATGCCAACTTGAATGAGTATTAAGTGGCATATTCAGTCAGTGATCGACCGATATGCTTACCTAAACACAAGGAAATGTTTTTAAAGAAAAAATTTCGAAATTGTTGAAACTTCCTCCTTATTAATGAAGATATCAGTTTATATTTCGACTTTATAAAGTACCCTGACATTATAATCAAAAAGAGATGATATTTGACCAAAACCCATAATCATGGGTAGAGTGGACCGCTGCCAGTGTCTCTCTTTCCCAAACAAAAGGAAATGATATTAATTTGATTGACCGTTCTCAAATGCAAAATGATACCGAGAATGAAATCGGTCGCTCGCTTTTCCCATTCATTTACAATTGTAATAGATTAAGAAGAACTGCCCAAAGGCAGCTGTACTCAGCAATAAAGATTCAATAAACTTCAGCTAATTCAATAAGTAATAACTACCACCCTTACCCCGAAATACTAGGTATCGACCCGAACGCAACCCAAAGAGATTTTTACAGCATCTGATTGATGTACCTAATCAATCGAAACTTATTACAATTTGTAAGCCGTGAATGAATGGGAAAAGCGAGCGACCGATTTCATTCTCGGTATCATTTTGCATTTGAGAACGGTCAATCAAATTAATATCATTTCCTTTTGTTTGGGAAAGAGAGACACTGGCAGCGGTCCACTCTACCCATGATTATGGGTTTTGGTCAAATTAGTACATACTGAATTATGAACCGCGTTCATAATCAGCTATAATTATTGAGCGGAGCAATTAACTAAGTGGAATAATTAATTATAAATACCGTTTTGAACTATGAAAGCAGCTGATCAGTATCCAGGCCGTATGATTTCTACGAGAAAATCCCGAACTGAGAAAATTAATGGCGCTTCTTTGCTAGGAAATAATAATTATTATTAATAAATTATTATTGGTCATGAAATTATGTTGACCGCAGTTTGTATTTAATGAGTCACAAGTTGCTTTATGTCTATGACTGTGTCTAGCCATCTCGCGTTGGTTTTAAATTTCGTCCTTGTTACCACTCGATTTCCATTCCTACAACATACGTGTAGTGGTTGCGAAACTTTTTCAATACTTCATATTACTAAATTTGTCATTCACTACTCAATTTTGTTATTGCTACTCATTCTCGAATGAGAACACGTTATATGTGACCAAATATGGCTAAAAATTAACCATTTTTGTTGGAAATTTGCCTTATAGTGTGACGTAGATCCTGAAAACGGTGTCATAGGAAATTTGTCCAAAATTTGCCGCGCTGACCGCAGCTAGGATATTGTTTCTTGGTACCCACTAGAATATTCGTGTGATGATGGATAGTAAATACGGATGCAAAGTACCTTTAACATTTTGTTGATAATTTACAATAAGTCATCTGCGATAGTCGATGTAAAACTGACCAAAAATAGCTGTGTTAATTTCAGTGATCTCAGAGACCAGTGATCCACTATGATCGGTATTTTAGATCATTTTCAACCAAACATGAGCTCATACGTTTATAGCTGTGTTACGAACGGCTTGATCGGCCCAGAAATTTAATCAAAGATATTGCAGTTGATAACTTAGTGGTCGAGTTGCAATTTTATGATTGAGTCAGAGTGGACTATGACGTGAAATCAATCTGAGGTTACTGCCCTAGCGGTCCAAAGTAAGATAATATGTGGTGTAACTGTGGCCACTCCCATAGAAATAGAATAAGAGCGGCGGAGGTTATCATCTACACAGTGGTTTTAATTTCTGCAAAAATTGTAAACAACGATATGACTGAGGTCTGAGACGCCATTTTGTTATGGGCAAATTGCGAGCGATTTGGCTAATGTATGATCGATATCGTTTTCATCTCAATTTTTCTTTCGGGATTCTGACCATTACAACTGACCATTTGCACTACTAAATCGACCAATAGTTAATTTAATGGCTTTGGCTTTTTTTTTTCTCGGTCATGACTCATGAGGACCTCTCTTGTGTTCTTCAGAATCAAATATTTGTTAGAAATCAGACAAGTTTTTCTCAAAATCTATACCAGGAAATCAAGTATAATTGTCATCTTTTGTTCAAAATTAAGTGAAAAAGTGAGCATCTCTAAAACTTCTATTCATGACTGAGTTCATTAAGCTATCGAAAATCAACAGTCATCAAATTTTATGTAATTTAATGTAATGTTTCTCGATGCGAAATTTAAAGAAGCATTTAAAAGATCATTGATGAACAATCTTCCATCGAGGTGTTTCTTTTATCTGTATTTTCCATCAAAGTTTCAAGTAGAGCAGTGATTCACTGTTATGTTACATCATTTTTTATCTACCTTTTTATCTTTCTTCAGTTGTCAATCTCATTTGAATCTAATTAAAATCTAAAATTGTTTATTTATTACCTCATACCGGTAGTTTCCTTCTCTTTAAATCTCCATTATCCCACAATTCCCACGAATCATTTTACCCGCCGACCAATGTTTTGGAAAACAAAGATAAGAGTCCAAAAATACACGATACTCACCATGAAGTGGGAGGCTCCCACTTCATAGTGCATATATCGTGTATTTTTGGAACCTTATCTTTGTTTTCCAAACTCATTAAGCACGTGTTCCACTTCTAATACTGTTCTCCTAATTTGATCAACCCACGTGATGTCACGTGGTGTCACGCAGGACGTACCTGCTCTTAGTTTCTCTCCTGTTATTGGTTATTATCGGCGCCGAAGCTTCGTCATTGGCCGGGCTTTGATTGCATGGCCAATTCACACTAATCCTTATCTTGTAATTTCATTAAAACTTACAACCATTTGGCAGATTACTATCGCTCTTTACGAAGACACCTATCCCATTAGTTAATTACATAATTGCATAGTTATCCTCTTTTGGTGGCTATCTTAACGGGGATAAACCCTATTAACGATTTGCCGTCGCCATGAATGACTGTTCAGTCAACTTTCGTCTCATCCTTTGTAATATTAGATTGAAACTTAACTGAACCAAGTGTGTAAATCGTCTTGAAAGTTTAAAGCAGTCTGCCCAACATAGGTGTTGACTCTGGACTCCGCTGATGGATGTCAAATAGAAACTTCTGTGACCTTTCACAAAAACGGGGTAATAACAATTCAGCTATTTAGAGTGGCCATTACTTTCATTAAATCAGATAGCACTGCACTGATGCACTCGCCACTCACGTCTCTCAATCCAGGAGCAAAAATAAAGAACATTTTACTGAAATCTCAGACAGTGTTATTTTTCCATCCAAATGTCTGGCTTTTTAATGGCCTTTTAGTCTTCTTTTAATGGGTTGAGAGAAAGGGAAGTAGGGTTATATTATTAGGAAAAGGGGATTTTTTACTTACAACTTCGAGTGAATTATATGCAAATTGTAAGAGGATATTTTCATGTTTTCTGCTTTTAACAAATCATCTTTTCAGAGTGGAATGCAGCGAAAGAAGGGGTAAGTGTTTTTTAAATCATCATTTAACATTTTCATGCTCTATTTACCATCTCTATTTACTAACTCTATTAATTATAAAATTATCTACTTTCTACCTGGTTTCTAGAATCTAGACCCCGGAATAAAATGGCAAAAATGGACAAATTCTCCTCTCGTAATTCTTCGAATTAGAATTAGGAATGTTTTGTATTTCCTTCATCGCTTCTGATTTCGGCTTTTGTAAAAGCATAATCGTTCTAATTGTACACACCAGCTTCTAATCGTGTTGTTGCTATCGTGGTAGTTTACACCCAAACTGGCTTCCCCAGAGTGTAAATTTCGTGTATCAACAATAAATGTTAATAAAGAAATACACATATCCGTGTATGAATGTGTGTGTGTGTGTGCTCCATTTGCCACATGTGTGTGTATCCGTTCTGTGAGCTAACACTAGTTTTCTCTGAAGATAATGTAACTTAGGTATTTGAAATATCTGTACTTACAATTTACATGATAGCTACTTGATCGTCAAACGATTCTAGTCTTAATGATTGCTTAATGCCCTTTTCATGTGACCTGTGAACGAATTAGGATTATTACATTATTACCCCAATTAAACTTTATTTTATCTGTAGGCTTCAAGCGGATAAAGCTGTTAAAATATCCATCTTGCATATTGAATATTTATGATAGGAAAACATCGCGCAAATCTTTTACGCGGCAGTACACTAGTGATTAGCTCACGTGCAAAATTGTCATGAAATTGCGCGCAAGTTACGTTCAGTGTTTCCTCGCTGGTTTCTTTGTACAGCCGTTTGATGAGGTGGGCGGTACGTGAGGCGTGCGCGTGGTAATGTTTCGTAAATAGTCTGGATTGTAATTAGGTTCGAGTTTTTTACTCGTTCTAGTAGCTGCATAGGTTGTTTGTGTTTACTGTTTATTGTTAAGTATCGTGATCTGTGTTTATTCCAAACAACAATTTTATCTGTGCTGCTTAACTTATCGGAGCCGATCTTCTGCTCCCGCCATATTGTGTCTGATGAGGGAACAGAGAACAATTGAACGTTTCTATTTTCTGATCCCATTGCAAATGATAAGCTCTTTTGTTTCCTCTTATTAATTCCAATAGAACTTAAGATATTTACACTCTGTTTCGTCATTCGTGTAACTAATAAGTTTTGCTTCCTTCGCACATTGTATCTATCATTAGACGGGGTAGACAGCCACGGATGATTTTGTCTGTGAGTTTTTCATCACTTCCTGACATGAGCCAGACCTCAGCTGGATCCTTCCCATACCTTTTCTTTACTTCCCGTTCAGTCTTCCTCTTCAGTTTTCATCATCAGTTAGAGCTGCCTTGCAATCGAAATTTGCCTCCGCATGTTCACCACGGCAACACCGGCTCTCAGACACTGGCTAACTTACCGCGCACGGCTTAGTTTCACTCCTCAGTTGGCTGTTCATTTGACAGAGTTACTGGCTGGCACTCCCAAAATTTTCTCACTCACCATCACTACGATCATATGATCAAAACACAAATCTTTGAAATATACTTTTTCTGTTTGAGATTAGAATAACGTTACTGTAATGTTCTAAATTATATTTTAAATGTTCAAAAGTGTTAGAACGAACTTTCTTTGGATGTGATACTTTTATACGATACAATATCATATTATTTTTCTTGGATTTGTCGTTTCGATTGACATAAATACAGTATTAGCTATCAAATTACAGTTTACAAGCAGTCATCCTAAATCACAGAACCTTGATCTTTACTGTCAATCCATATAATGTCATTTTGTCTCGCCGATCGTATTAGTATCTCACTATTCACTCAATTCTTAAAAACGCTCTTTAAATGTTTTTCTGTATCAAGCCGTATTTTAATTCTATGTATTTAAAAGTAGCGAAGTCACAAGGTTTAATCATAAAATATGGGAAATATTAACTATCGTATTATATACAAGCTTGTGCTAGAATACCATCATAGCCCATCTAATTTAAATTTACCATAGCTAGGCTCTGGCAAATCTAACATGACTTCGTTGGTTCCCTGCTCCTTCAACCACTTTAAAGTTCAATACTGGACTCAGCTTGACTGTTGGCTATTGAGTTCATTTTTGTAATGGACTTCCATCAAGACAGCTCACAAGGTGTCGTACTTAAGGTGCACCTTATGAAATTTGTGTGCGTCGAAATTTAAATAATTTTCTACGAAATCTTCAAAGTTAGAAACTAAAATGCTTTCTACTAAATTTCTACAAAAGATTGGGAAGCACGAAAACCGAACTTCTTGTTTCAGTTTGCTCCTTATATTGTTAGGGCAAGTAAAAATCTACTGCGATAGAACCCTTTCTGATGTTTTAGATTTAACTTTTTCTCGATGATCATGGTCATGGTGTGGTATGCACCTACTTATTAAGTTGGTTGGTACTTGATAATATTATGCTAAGTAAGCCAACCATTTCACTAGTGCCGGCTACATTTGACAAATAGAAAACGTAAAAACACGTACCCGTCTTAAATAGAGCATTTCCTGGAGTGAATGTTGTATAACAAGGCCCACTCGGAAACGACAGGTTTCTTTCACATTGAAACTCACCGCCCTATTCATATTATTCATATTATGTTTCATTGTGATTTCAACCCGGAGCCTACTATTAATCTGCTTTCTTCAACTCCGTTATATTACTTTTATTTATTAACTATAATGAATTTTGCCACAACAATTACAAGACATGATTATCTATCTCCCCCGAATATAACTATCTTGGCACCTGTCCGATAATTCCCAATCTCAAAAGTTAATGAGTTAGCTAATCAGATAATTAGTTAAGATTGGCTTGTCCAGTTAGGAAATGTTTCGTCCTGAGTAATTAATCTGGCTATGTTCCAAATCTTGATCTTTGTTCTGTTCTATTGTGCCACGTGTACATTTAAATCGTTCCTGTAACACGATAACTTAAATAATATCTTCATTGTCATTTAATTAAGGTATTCAGGTTTAATTAATGATACAGTTTCCCACCATGGAATGTGATTTAGAGCGAAATTTAGTGAAGCTAATTAGTTTTTTTTACTAGAATGTAAAATGTTTATTGAGTATCTGTATTTTATTTTATTGCTTCTGATAACTCCAATGTGACAGAAAGTAGCACCTTCAGTGCTTCACACATCGCTACAACAACAAGTTCATTGGCACATTCTCACGAGCTTGCAAATTTTTAACGTTTTTCCGGGAGTTTTAAAAACTTGAAGGACAAACCCCTGGCCCTTTTACCAGTTTTAAATAGATCCCCGCGTATATCTATTATACTTGCACGTCAAAATGTCAGCTTGACAAAATTCATTTCTCTTTGTTACCATAAGTCTCGTTTCTGCAGAAGGACTTCATCGTTCATCAATGAGTTAAATTCTTGAAAGGTATGTTCCAAGTGTTTCCGTATAAATGGCCAAAAATAGAATTTCCGCGTAAGCACGGATATGATAGGATCTATAATACTATAATATCGGATTTCAAACCTATTTCCGTCAGTTTTTTTTTCGATACAAGTTTCATTGTTAGCCTTCCTACCGGGTTCCTGGCTTACTGGAACCAAACCAAATTACTGGTTCATTACAGCAATCACGCTGAGCAGCGGAGCTCATTCTACTGTACGAGATCATGGGACCAAATCTCGGACCACTTAGCTACAATTATTGTGTTTAGATGGTCAGTACTCAGTACTCTCTTGTAACTATATCCGTGCTCCACGATCGCTATACTCAAACATGACCTTAAAATGTTTTTGTCATAGCATTTAGGTATATCTAGAATTTTCCTTCCGATTGCATAGATCTTGAATTGTAGTGTATGAAACTTTACATTGACGAAAATGTGTTTTTAGTTGTTGAGAATGATTACGGACCTTTAAATGACCCATGAGTCACAAGGCCCTTTAATCCTGGAATAGACCCTTGGAACAGGGCCAAGTCAGCCAGATGTACACCCGGTTTTATTATGTTTACACGGTATATTACTATACAGTACGGTTGCACTGAGCGTCAGACATTGTTGGCTCGTCTCGCGAGATGTCTAGACACACTTCCCTATGTCGGATCAGATCACGTGATCTTTGTTCTTCCTTTCTCAACGGTTCATTTTCAACTCACGTGGGCGCTGCTCTGAGCTGTGATTGGTTGACATTGCTATAGTGTGGCTGATGCTTAATTATAGAACTCATGGTCGTGGTGTCCATCAGGGTTTGTGATGAACGAGAGAGACATGGGTTTATCCTGTCTCACTTTACCACGCTCCAAAACTTTTCCTTTTCACAGCTGGCATGTTTTCCGAGTTTTCACCTTTATTTGTTTCGCACAACATTTGCAATTGTACCAGTTATTTTTTCGATCAGTTCAAGGCATATTGAGATTGTCAACCAATAAGTAATCACGTGGTAAGGTCACCTGACCAGACTTCATGTTATAGTTCTCTCTTTTAATTTGTTAAAACTGTAGCGTGAAGTAAAGATGGCGCTGAATTAATCTCCGTGCTGCGTTGAAATGAAATATGTGAGCACTACGTGTCTTCTCTTTAAAAAGTGTCATGAATTTTCGGAGACGTGACACTACAAACGCTACATATATTATGTGCTTATGAATCACGGTTCGCTATAATAATATTAATAATATGATAGTCGTGATTTGCTTGTAAGTTCATTTTTCCGTCTTGAGGTATTTATCAAACTTTTACAAACTGTTTCTGTCGCATAATTTGTCATAAATATACCTTTGAGTTTATTGAAATCGCATTCGTTGACTGTGCCACTAGAACTATATTTTTACACCACGTCCGGTCTACAACCAATGACGCACACGAGCTCTAGATGGTCCATTCTATTAAATTTAACGCTTTCTTTCTGTGCTGAATTCCGACCGTTCAGTCACTGAACTTCAGTGCAGTGGGGTGTGACCAAGTCTCGGTTTTTTCATGAACTAAGCGAACGTCTTGTTTTCTTTTCAGTTCAAGCATTGGCCGGTTT